TTTGCAAGTCATTTTGCTAAGATTTTAAGAGTATGAAATGACATGAATAATGCAGAATATATTTCATTGTGAAACAGAGAAAAGAGAGAAGCAATAAAGCACTTTGCAAAGTTAATGCTGAGGGGCAGATAAAAAAATGCACCATGTTGGAGAGACTCTGCAGCTCAGAGTGCGTGTGAAAAGTGAAGCAAAGGTGAAGGAGTTGGATTTAACAAAGATGACAGGAACCCATTCCTGGAGAGATAGTGAGAGCCTCTGTTCACCTCCCTCAGGGAAGGGGCAGTAGGTCTCCACAGGATTGAGGAGCCCAGGGCCAGATGCCCCATCAACAGAGCTGCTGCCATCCATAAGGCACAGGCTGTTGTGGGTCTGAAACTCAGGTGTTGCCCAGGATTATCACTGGCCCCTGACCTTAGGTGAATGATTGTAGTGGGGGTGGTCATGGTGAGGCAGGGGCGCGGGGAGCAATGGCAGGGGGTGTGGGGGTCAGCAGGAAAGGTAGGGGTGACTGTCAGCACATTCCCCGATTCATGATGTCAAGCTGTTAATCAGGCACTGAAAGGCTTTGAACAAGGAGTTCCCTGGAACCCACATGATGAGCCTTTTGTCCACCCCTAGGTAACATTAGCGATAGCAGGAAGAGATCTGTAGGGTAATTATTACCCACTGAACGGCCTCAATTTCTACTTGACTGTGGATCTTCCCATCATAGACCCAGTCATGCTGGAGGTGTGAAAGTGATGGGATCCCTACTTGCCACAATTCAGCCTGATTAAATGCCCCTCCTGTCAAACATACCTCAAGGGAGGGTATTAAATGTTTCAAGTCAGGGTAAGGACACCAGAACTAGAAAAGTTAGAGATGAGACAGGATGCAAACAAGGGGAGGGAGGATGTGGTGGGAAGGGAACAAAAAAGGAAGGTCTGTGATTGAATGTAAGAAACAGAGGTTACATTTCAATCTTTGGTATGATGGTTATTCATCACAATAATCAAATGATTCACTGGTGCAAACCCAATGAAACAAAACGAGAAATCTGCCCAACACCCCTTCAGGCTTTTACATTAAAAAGCAAAACACCAGAACTAAAACACCAGAAATACCCAACTATTACTTACTTGCTGATTTTCCAGTCAATTATGGACATTTTTCTAATCTTTTATTCACCTACTCTCAAACAGGTCCCAAATTTTTCACAAAACATTTTCAAAGTCTTTATGTTTGATATGAGGGAGGGAGCCGTGTCGAGGGACAGACAGACTGCCATCTCAGTGTCAGCACCAGACACTCAAACCACAATTTTTGTTTTATTCATTCACGAGAATGAGGGCTTCGCTGGCCAGGCCAGCATTTACTGCCCATCCCTAACTGTCCAGAGGGCAGTTCAGAGTCAACCACGTTGCTGTGGGTCTGGAGTCACAGGTAGGCCTCATGATGGCAGTTTCCTTCCCTAAAGGACATTAGTGAACCAGATGGGTTTGTCCAACGATCAACAACGGATTCACGGTCATCTTTAGACTCTTAATTCCAGATTTTTGTTGAATTCAAATTCCACCATTTGCCATAGCAGGATTTAAACCCACATTCCTAGAACATTACTTTGGTCTCTGGATTAACAATCCAGCGATAACACCAATAGGCTGTCACCTCCTCAGTTAAACCAAATCCAGAAAACACTCTCACTACCCAGCACCATCAGGGGAGCACTCCTTACAGTATCTGAACAACGTTTATAGCAACTCCTGCCCAGCTATCACATTCTGGCTCCCTCATTATCCATTTGCCACTTTAGTTAGCTTAGTCAATTCTTGTCAAAATAAGGACAGTTTTAACTTATAGATCCTTGTCCAGTCAAAGCTACTCTGAAACAAGCCAAACTCACTTCTTACAGATGTCCGTAACCAGATGATGGAGGACATGTTCGACCCATCAATCTGGAGAATTTAGAGCAACTCTTTCTCAAAACAACAACAACTTTTATTTATATAGCGTCATTAACAACCCAGTCAATGGCAGAAGTAAGCCTGTATGTATCAGCATTGGGCCGCACGCCACATAAAATGGGAAAGGGCTTTGGCAGGAATGACACCAGCTGTCAACACCACCCTCAAATCAAAACATGAGGGTAGATATGGAGGTGATCAACTGGTTTGGTGACCCCTGTAACATGGGAAAAGCCAAAAGAGGAAGAAAACAGAATGGATGGAAAATTGTCCCAAAGACATTTCTCAGAAATGGAATCGCTGAACAACTGACAGATTCAAAGGAAGGGGATCAGCAACAATGAGTAAAAAGGCACTTCTACAGCGGACCGATACGGATGAGGCTGGGGGCAGGTAGGTGGGAGTTGAAGGAAGTGGAGGAGATTTGTAGATCTGGAATTCCAGAACCAATGGCTGATAACTGGAAGGAATAGCTGGTGGTGGTGGGCTGAAGGGAATGGAGACAACAAGGTGCAGCGCTGGATGAACACAGCAGGCCAAGCAGCATCATAGGAGCAAAAAGGCTGACGTTTCGGGCCCAGACCCTTCATCAGAAATGGGGGAGGGGAAGGGGGTTCTGAAATAAATGGGGAGAGAGGGGGAGGCGGATAGAAGATGGATAGAGGAGAAGATAGGTGGAGAGGAAACAGACAGGTCAGTAAAGGTGAGTGTAGGTGGGGAGTTAGGGAGGGGATAGGTCAGTCTAGGGAGGATGGACAGGTCAAGGAGGCGGGATGAGGTTAGTAGGTAGGAGATGGGGGTGCAGCTTGAGGTGGGAGGAGGGGATAGGTGGGAGGAAGAACAAGTTAGGGAGGCAGGGACGAGCTGGACTGGTTTTGGGATGCGGTAGGGGGAGGGGAGATTTTGAAGCTTGTGAAATCCACATTGATACCATTGGGCTGTAGGGTTCCCAAGCGGAATATGAGTTGCTGTTCATGCAACCTTCGGGTGGCAACGTTGTGGCACTGCAGGAGGCCCAGGATGGACATGTCATCAGAGGAATGGGAGGGGGAGTTGAAATGGTTCGCGACTGGGAGGTGCAGTTGTTTATTGTGAACCGAGCGTAGGTGTTCTGCAAAGCGGTCCCCGAGCCTCCACTTGGTTTCCCCGATGTAGAGGAGGCCACAACGGGTACAGCGGATGCAGTATACCACATTGACAGATGTGCAGGTGAACATCTGCTTGATGTGGAAAGTCTTCTTGGGGCCTGGGATGGGGGTGAGGGAGGAGGTATGGGGGCAGGTGTAGCACTTCCTGCGGTTGCAGGGAAAAGTGCCGGGTGTGGTGGGGCTGGAGGGGAGTGTGGAACGGACAAGGGAATCACGGAGAGAGTGGTCCCTCCGGAAAGCAGATAAGGGTGGGGAGGGAAAGATGTCTTTGGTGGTGGGGTCGGATTGCAGATGGCGGAAGTGTCAGAGGATTATGCATTGGATCCGGAGGTTGGTGGGGTGGTACGTGAGGACGAGGGGGATTCTTTTTTGGTTCTTATTGCGGGGACAGGGTGTGAGGGATGAGTTGCGGGAAATGTGGGAGACACGGTTGATGGCGTTCTCGACCACTGAGGGGGGAAATTGCGGTCCTTGAAAAATAAGGACATCTGAGATGTATGGGAGTGGAATGCCTCATCCTGGGAGCAGATGAGGCGGAGGCGAAGGAATTGGGAATAGGGGATGGCATTTTTGCAGGAAGGTGGGTGGGAGGAGGTGTATTCTAGGTAGCTGTGGGAGTCGGTGGACTTGAAATGGATATCGGTTTCTAGGTGGTTGCCCGATATGGAGACAGAGAGGTCCAGGAAGGGGAGAGAGGTATTAGAGATGGTCCAGGTGAACTTAAGGTTGGGGTGGAAGGTGTTGGTGAAGTGGATGAACTGTTCGAGCTCCTCGTGGGAGCACAAGGCGGCGCCGATACAGTCATCAATGTAACGGAGGAAGAGGTGGGGTTTAGGGCCAGTGTAGGTACGGAAGAAGGATTGTTCCACGTAACCTACAAAGAGGCAGGCGTAGCTTGGGCCCATGCGAATACCCATGGCCACCCCCTTTGTCTGTAGGAAGTGGGAGGAATTGAAAGAGAAGTTGTTGAGGGTGAGGCCAAGTTCGGCTAAGCGGATGAGGGTGTCAGTGGAGGGGGACTGGTCGGGCCTGTGGGACAGGAAGAAGCGGAGGGCCTTCAGGCCATCTGTATGGGGAATGCAGGTGTATAGGGACTGGACGTCCATGGTGAAGATGAGGTGTTGGGGACTGGGGAATTGGAAGTTCTGGAGGAGGTGGAGGGCGTGGATGGTGTCACGGACGTAGGTAGGGAGTTCCTGAACCAATGGGGAGAAGATGGAGTCCAGATAGTTGGAGATATTTCAGAACCCCCTTCCCCTCCCCCATTTCTGATGAAGGGTCTAGGCCCGAAACGTCAGCCTTTTTGCTCCTCTGATGCTGCTTGGCCTGCTGTGTTCATCCAGCTCTGCACCTTGTTGTCTCGGATTCTCCAGCATCTGCAGTTCCTCCTATCTCTGAAGGGAATGGAGTTTTATTTTTGCTCATTCAGGTGACATGGGCACCACTGACTGGGCCAGCATTAATCATCCATTACTGATTGTCCTCAGGGTTGGGTGTGGAACAATGCAGACAAATACCAGGAAACAAAAACAAAATGAAAGCTACAGCAGATTGGTCAGCATTCTAAAAGATTGTTAGATCCTTCAATTCTGATGAAGAGGTTTATACTTGTATTAAGAACCTGCCTTTTCCTGTTACAGATGTTGACGGAATGACTACATATTTCCTGTGCTTTCACTTTTTAGTTCAGATGGTGAACATTTTCAGTCTTTAAATGTTATCTTTGGAAATGTGAGATTCTCTCATCAAAGTGGGAAAGAACTTGCAGAAACACTTTAGGGGTAATTTGAACTTTGTGTGCTGGGCAAAATGGGTGATGGAGCAATTCTCAGCTGAATTTCCATCTATTCTTCCCTTAACTTCCACCGAGTTCACAAAATAAAAATGACAGAAGAATTTTTAATCCTACCTTTGGCTGATGGAGCAAATCTGGATCGAGAAATCCCTGGTCTTTTCTGTATTCTGTCTGTAATCGTAATTTGAAGTTTGTATCATGGGTTTTCACCAATGCCTCATGGAAAATTTTCTGCAGGACAAGGTCTGTATCCTGAACACCCCACATGTATAGAGAGACAGAATGTAGGAGACTGTTCCCTTCTCCTGCCCAAGAAGAAATATATTTATGAACATCATACAAACATAATTAGTAAATGATACATTTACAGAGAAACTAAATGCTTCAATGAATTGTTCTACCTCTGTGCTGAGTTCAGACCCACCATTCTCTGTTGATAATGATGTGATTGCTCCCAAAGTCTCCTTCCCAGTGGTTGTAAACCCTCAGATCCAGGATTAACTGCGCGTCTCTGATTTGTCAATCTGCCCAGAAATTTATTAATAATTCCTGTGTTTATTAAATTTGCAGTCTAGTCACAGAAATCACACAATGCTGATTTTTCTTCCTCAAATATTGGAGTTAGCTGATCGCCTGATTACCCAGACAAGCTAATGAGATGCAAGAAGCTGATTTAAATTTCCAGATAAATCAAACTTAGTGCATTCATCAAAAAAAATGAATCCGTGAGAGCATAGAAGCG